GAGACAGCGTCAGGGGCCTCGGGGCGCCGCCGCTCTGTAAGTGCCAGTGTCACGCCTTGCTGGTTCTTGCTCTTGCAACATCGCGCCCGGGGCCGGGTTCGTGCCTCGCGTTGGGCCGGGGGTGGGGGACGGGACGACGGGACACGGACCCCGACAAGCCCCGAACAACCAGAAACACAGGCTTCTTCGTTGTTTGGCGGGGCCGCCTCGGCAGCTCTGCCTGGGGCCGGGGTCCGCCACGGGGCGGAGGGTGAAGGGCTCGTAAGGTTTGAGAATTTTCCGTGATGAAGAGGAACCAAACCCAAACAGCTAATAACGACTTTATTCGTTGTTCTTGCCGCCGACCAAATCAGACACGCGGGACTGACGAATCTTCTGGCTTCTAGGAGCTACGGCAAGAGGAGGAGTGTTGTCAACGCGAGGACAAGCGAGGGATGGTGATGCCTGCAACCTATGGCTGAACTGGAGGTAATTCACTAGCGGATCAATAACCTACCCAAGGTTCCTGAAAGGCTGCGACACTGTACGGAGCCTGAGTAGCGATAAAATCATTCATTTATTTAATGTTTGGTAGTTTGATGGTACCCAATAAACGTTCAGATTTGTGCTGTAACTGTTTATTTCCTGCTTATAGTCGAAAAGAAAATAAAATAAAAACTGATAATTACCTCTTAAAAATCCGTATCTAATGAGGAGGGGGTTTAAAGGAGCATAATTACTTCTCTTCATGGGTTGCAATGCATCTGTGCTTTTTCAGGTCAAATTGGGGCCTTGTGAGAACGAACGTGACTGTGGACAATAAGAATGATTTTTAGCAGTGATCAGTGTAAACAGGAGAAGCTGTCATTTTTTAATATTTATTTTGCCCCAGTTATTAACTAATGTAACTTGTGAAACAAAACCAAAAGTATGTTTGAAATGATACGGAAACTAGACAAAGAATATTTTGTGCATAAAGACGCTGAAGCTCTCAACTCTATAACTTTTAACAAAAATTCAATTCAAATTGTATTTCTGTGCAGCTGAGGAAAGGCTGAGTTGAGCATTTTTATATGTACGCTTCCAAGGCCCGCGAGCTGGGTATACGAGCCTACTGCTTGAGCTTTGTGCTTGGCACAGCGAGAAAGCTTGCTGCAGCCACCCTTCGGCTTCATTGCACAAACGTTAACAGTGAAAGGTTAGAGAAGGGAGGCGAGAATGTCACGTATTTCCATAAAGTCCTGTTATAAAAAGTGATAAAAATTAGATTTTTATAGCAGATGCCTAGCTGCTGTGCATTTTGATGTATAATTATCAAATGCCCTAAAAAAAATAATTGAAATCATAATCTAACATGCGGTCTGTAATCATTAGGATGAATATATTTTGTAGTGTAGATTTTTTTTGAGAAGCAAAATTGTGCATACTAGATTTGATCACTTTATCTGTGGCTATGTTCACTTTATATATTTAAAAATGTACGGGTGTTTCCCCTTTCCCAGTTTTTATAACAATAACCACTGTGTGTTTCAGCTTTATTTTGAATCCACACTTCAAATAATTAAAATGGCAATGAAATCGTATTTATCATTTAATAAAGATTTTAAAAATAAAGTGACTTGAGTCTTTTCTTAGCGATGTAAAATATGTATTATAATATCTCTCATAGGTGGTTCTTGCAACAAAGGGCTACATGAATAATGTGATTAACATTTTAATTTCCCTTGATGTTTACATAAAAGAAAGTATACTTACACATGACATCACTAAAACCATAAACGAAGGAACAGAAATTTTAACAGTTAAGAAGTCTGAAAGTAGAGAAAAACTATCCTGAATATATTGAACTTCTCCGTTTTTTTAGCAACTCGTAACTTTTCCTTATGTAGTTTAAAATACAGCCCACAGATTTCAAAATGTTTTTGTTTCAACAGTAAAATAAGGACTCTTTTATTTTATTTTTGTAGAGCATCAATCAAAATGGAATCCCAGTTGCTGACTTGAGCCTGAGCACTGCAGCACTGCAAATAATATTTAATAAACAGCTTTTACAAATATACATTCCACTTCTTTTTGCAGATGAAATCTGATGGGCTTTTTTGTTTATTTGTGGCTTAACATGGAAGTCACACCAGCCAGAAGAGAAGATGCAGAATTATTATTGTTTGGTGATGCACACAGAATGAGTCTTCACAATTCCTGCAGCAGTAACAAATACTACATTAATTTCTTGGAGATATTTTAAAAGTGTTTTTTCCCTGTTGCAGTTAAAATGAGGATGTTTTTGTTATGTATAAAAGTGGATAAAAATATCCTCATTTCCAAATTTTTACTATCTTGATTATTTTGCTTTCAAATATTTCCTTTTCTTTGGTGTGATATTGCCATCTTACATTATCTTTAAGTAAAAATACATCACTTACACTTTATCGGTGAGATTTAACACTTTTTTAGGAGAAATTTCTACTCTGAAAAGTCTGAATTAAAAAAATAGTAATGGAATTATCTTCCTTTTTCAGCTATAACAATTGTTAGAGTTAAAAAGTCTCAGATTATTTTAATTAGTAATTTGATGTTTTCAACATCTCGTAGCTTTACACATTCTTGCAAATGTGTCCTGTTGGGACTTTCAAATGTGAACAGGTACACCAAAATAATTTTACAAAAAAGCAAGAATGAAGTTTTTTTAATTTTGCTGTTAATAAAGTTGATACGTAAAATTTAGTCAGTTTTGGGCTGATCCCAGGTCTTGTTTGTTGGGGTTTTTTCCCCTCTACATTATTTTATTATTTCTTCCCCGCTCCCCACTTCCCCAGAAAGTGCTATAAGTATCCAAATGTTACAGATATGTTAGAATTCTCTTGAATTACTGGTTACTTTTGACAGATAAGAATGTAGTATCTCTGGTTTCTTCTTGATTATTCTGTATCTTGATAGTTTTGGAGGGTTTTTTACTGATATTTTTCCCCCAATAATTGTTTATATCAGTTATCAGCATGGTTTAATAGCTTGCAGCCAGAAAGTTCATTACTTGAAACTTAATGGTGGCAGCTCTTGACATGAAATCCTTCTGTTTCTTGTGAAATTTGCTCTTTTCCTTTTTCTTTATAGACAAAGGAAAGTATTTAGGGTTTGCAGATTGTCAAGCTGAACAATGTAGCTAAATGCTTGAAGCACTGTATGGGCAGGGGGGAGGTGGGTCGGTTGAGAGCAACATAAAGCATCCACTAAGCTTTCTTTAGTCTTGGTTGGTTGGTTGGGGTTTGTTTTTTTTTCGGTGGGAGTTTTTTCCACCTCAAACGAGAATTATGACCACCAGTTGCTTGCCTTGTTGTCACTGTTGATTCTTACTCTTGAAACCAACCATTAATCTTACAAGGGCAAGAAGCGAGTGATGGTACTTACAAGGCCAGCCAACTTTTTTATTACTGTTGTGTATATTAAGTATCTTCAGAAAGAACCAAATGAGCCACAATACAGTACTACCGTGAGTAAATTCCTTCTGCAGTTTTAAACAATAAGCTACAATTTAAGTGGCTTCATATCAAAATTAATTTAAATACTCACTTCTTTACGCTTCATGCCAAGAAAATATCCTGCCTGCACTCTTCATCAGTTACCTACCTAAACTTTCACTTATAGAGCCCCTTACAGAGTGTTTAGCTGCTGGTATCAGATATTAAATAGTGAACTGTATTGCCTCTATTCTTTAATTTCCTTTTTCAGTGTACCCATTACCCTAGAACATGCATGTCTTCCTACTCCACACAACACACCGTTTCACCTTTCGCTTGCTTCTCACTGTTGGCTAAAAGTAGCATAGAATTAGATATCTATATTACCCAGACCACCATCAGTACTGACAAATTCACATTTTATAAGAGCACACGAATAGATGAAGATGCTCTGACAAGCATGTTTCTAGGTGTTCTCCTCATGTGCGGCTAGAATAGTAAAGCTAAATCAAATCACTTTTGAAGACTTCATTAATTTTTGTATAAAAATAAACAATAAACCATGAATCTACCATCAGACTTCTGAATATGTCATTTATATTTTGAGCAGTAAATGAGTCCGGTTGAAAATTTGTCCAGTGACCCTAAAAATCTCTTAATATGTTGTTACCAAAATAGATATGAATTGCATCAGCCATGACATTCTTTCAGTTTCACTATTCTGAGTACAAAAAATTTCCCTTATAAAGAGGAGAAACTAAGAATTAGGCCTACATAATTCCTACTGAATAAAGGAATTCTACTGGTTTATAGCGGGGTTTTGTTTTGTTTTAAAGCAATTTAATTTGTGCTCCTGTATGTTGTAAAAGACCTTCAATTAAATTTACTGGATCAGTCTGACAGTACAACTTTCAATGCTGAATTATCCAGAGAATTTTGAGAAAATTATTAAACTGCTATACTTAATTGTTTGCTATTGGGCTCTTCTTCACAGAGAATCTTGGATATTTACTATGTTCACTTCCACGTTCATTTGATGTCTCTAAAGTTTTCTGAGAACTATAAGGATTATGTGGGGTTTTTTAAGTGAAGCTTTCAAAAAATTAATAGAGAGGGTCTATTTTAGGTGAAAGCTACTCTATAATGGAAATAGGAGCAGGAAAAAAAAGTTTGCTATGTTGCTTTCTATATTGACAATTATTTTCTTAGATTATTACTTCTAGAAAAGTTTTGAAAATGTTTGTTGTTACTATACTTTCTAGTAAGGTATTCCAATATGCTAAGGCAATTTTTGTGGATTGTAAGATTCTCAAAATAAGGTGTGTCATTGATTTCTTTCACTGGTTTCAGATTAGACTCCTAAGAACACTCACTTTCCGATTAAAACCATTAAACCTATCACTACACTCCCTGATAAAAGAGTCCCTCTTTCCTGTAGGCCCCCTTTAAGTACTGGAAGGCTGCTATAAGGTCTCTCTGGAGCCTTCTCTTCTCCAAGCTGAACAACCCCAACTCTCTCAGCCTGTCCTCATAGGGGAGGTGGTCCAGCCCCCTGATCATCTTCCTGGGCCTCCTCTGGACCCGCTCAAGTGAGTTTGTGTCCTTCTTATATTGGGGGTCCCAGAGCTGGACACAGTGCTCCAGGTGGGGTCTCAAGGGAGCAGAGGGGGAGAATCCCCTCCCTTGACCTGCTGGCCACACTTCTCTTGATGCAGCCCAGGATACAGTTGGCTTTCTGGGCTGCAAGCACCCATTGCTGACTCATATTCAGTTTTCCATCCACTAATACCCTCAAGTCCTTCTCTTCAGGGCTGCTCCCAATCCATTCATCCCCCAGCCTGTATTTGTGCTTGGGATTACCCTCACCCATTTGCAGGACCTTGCACTTGGCCTTGTTGAACTTCATGAGGTTTGCACAGACCCACCTCTCCAGCCTGTCAAGGTCCCAAGCTAGAAATGCAACTTTTTACAATACAGATGAGAGGTAATTTGTCTGACTTTTCAGAATGGGGCTGGTTATCAGTAGCTTTGGTATAGACTTGAAATTGCCCTGAAGTTAATACAGTGAACTATTAAAGATTTACATCTATGTAATAACTTGAGAGATTCCATCCTGTTGTTATCAGAGATACAGTCTGATGTATTTGTTAATGTGTAATTACAGGACAGGACAAAGGAAAAGTATTTCAGTGTTTACAGATACTCATTGTGCAATTTAGATAAAATCAGAGGAGACCGTAAGAAATATCAGAGAGATCTACCCGGAGAAAAGCTGAGCAGAACAATGTAAGTAAAATTTCAGGATGTTACATTCAAAATAATCTATTGGAAGAAATAATATAAGTCAGTCATGCTCCTTATGGTCTCCTAAAGCATTATAAGACAAAAAGCTCTGTTTGATAGCTGAGAGTAAACCTTTTAAAAAGACCATTCAATTTATTACAGATTAAACATTGAGAATATGGTAATTTTTTTCTAGAACTCTAATATGAAACCAGTGAAACAAAACAATGACACATCTGTAGGACTACTGCATTGAGTCTTTCACTTTATCTCCAAAGACTTAAAGAGTTCAGATATATATGAGGAAAATAGTTAGAATCAAGAAAAAATACTATAGGAATAGGATTAAAGACCAAGGAAATGGAATAAAGTATTTGGAGGAGGTAATATTGAAGTATGACATACACAATTTCTCTGTTTCAGAGAAGATAAAGCAGGATCTTCTGTAAACTCTAGGACATAGTTCAATAACTGAAATAGTTGAAAGATTTAAAATTAAAAATTATGTTTCTTCCCCATAACAAAAGATAGCCATCCTGGCTTTACTTTTGCCTCAGAAATCACCAAAGCAAGGATTTTAGCAGTCTTCAGAAGA